ACATATAATGCTTCTGCAAAAAATAGGACTTATCTCCATTATTTAGGCATTTTATGAACATACGATCCCAAAACCAAAAAATTAATGTTTTGATGCCAACAACTAAGTATAAAATAAATTAGAAGTTGACTAGAAATCTGTGGCTTTTTTCCATCTATTGAGTCTCAAGAAAAAAAAAATTATAGAATTTTAATTTTTCATTTTTATGGTTCTTACAGATATGTGTCTACCGCATTATTTTCCTTGAACAGAGAGTCTCAAATATGAAGATGTCATAAAATGTTTTCCATTATGTCTTTATGAATCTGGGAAAACATGTATCACTTCAGAGTTAGCAATCTTATTTTATAAATTAGGAAAGCTATACATTTTTCCTATTTTACATTATAAAAATAAAAAATAAAATCTGTAGATGCAAGATAGTTTTGTAAGTTTAATGTTTTTTAAAATAATGCTCCCGAATACAAGATTATTTGAATACTAAAAAAATTAAATATTTATTAAACTCAAGAATAGAATAATTATTTTGCTGCCATTTGTCTAACAAAGTTTATATAGTAAGCATGATATCTTTTATAGAACTCAAGCCAGATATAACATTGGACAGAATCCTGTCTGGACAACACACCCTTAAGTTTGGATTATTTATGCCTGTGCTATATAATACAAAACATACCATTTTGCATGTATTGTATCACCTTATTACAGAATTTAATATTTGTCTATTCATCTGCCTTTTAGATTGTCAACTGTTTGGACTATATATTTTATTTCTTTATCTCTATGGTTTAGCACTCTGCCTAGTATATTGTCAATGTTTGATTAGTTTGTGAATATTTCATTACTCACCTTTGCATCTAGCTCCTGGCATATAGTAAACACTCAATAAATATTTGTGGATTCAATGAATAAATGAATGAATGCCACTGCTTTTAGTATCACTGTGAAGACACATTTCTCAACTATCACATGCCTCATAAATACTGATATTAATTGGAAAAAAAATCCCATGCAAAATCTTTTTAAAAAGTTTGTACAAAATAGCAAGCATTTGATTTTTGTTTTTCAGAAAAGTCAGTGAAGGTAATCCAAACCCTCTTTTTGTCCCCCTCTTACTCTTATTGTGTGTGCTTCTACTGTTGAACATAGAGAATCACTTGAGAAAGGCATTCCTCTAGGCACAGGAAAGGAGTGTAGGGAGCAGAGAACATAAAGATTCCCTGTCCTCATTATCTTTTATGTTAGAGGGGAAAACAGACAATGGCAAGAATAAACACGTACTATATACCTTGTTTTAAAATGTACTATATACAATGTTTTAAGCACATACCATATACAATGTTTATTTAAAAAGAGTTAAGTGCTAAGGAAAAATAAAACAGGTAAGGGGGCTCAGAAGTGAGCATGTTAAGTGGGGTGGAATTACTATGTCTGGAATTAAAGCCAGAGAAGGTTTCATTCTCTGAAGTGACATCTGAGTAAAGTCTGAAAGAAAGTTAGGAAGGACTCCTGCATGCATCCAGGAAGAGAATCCACAGTGGGAAATGCAGTAACAAATAACAAGAGGTGTAAGGATGTGGGAGGAGAGCTATGAAATGCAGGGCCTATAGACTGTTTAAGAACTTTTAGTGACATGGGATGTCACTGAAGATTTTGAGCCAAACAGTGGCATGATCTAACTTAGATTTTAACATGATAACTGTGTCTACTGTGTTGGTAATGTTCTGCAAAGGGTAATATACTGTGAAGTAGATGTAGTGATCAGTTAGAAGGCTATTGGAATGATCTAGGTGAAAGATTTATAGTGGCTTTAATCAGGACATAGTAGTGGAAATTTGGAGAAGTGGTTGAATATATAATGAGAAGATAAGGTCTTCAACAGAAACAACTGAAAGAATCAAGCTGACATTGACTGAGATGGGGAAGATTGCATACAGAGTAGGTTTTGAGAAGAAATGAGAAGGCTTTGTATATGTTAACCTTGAGATGCTTCTATGTACAAGCAGAGAGGTCAAGGGGGCAGATAAACATGAGTTAGGAGTTCAGGGTTGCAGATACAAACTTGGATGTCAAGAGCATTCAGATGGTACCAAAACTCCGAGCTTAAATGAGCTCACCCACAAAGTTGTTGTAAATAGACAACAGAAGTTGGGCCTTGGAGTCATGGAGCATTCCAATTGTAGAGGTTGTGGAGGTGAGTTGAATCGAACAAAGGAGACCGAGAATGTGTTAGGAACAAAAGAGAGAGTTTTGGAATAAAAACAGGAGAGTTAGAAATAAAAACAGGAGACTGTGATGTCTCAGAAGCCAAATGGAAGGTACATTTCAAATAAAAGAAAATGACTAAAGTTTAGCATGTATGATATAGTCCCTTTTCTTTCCTCATCATTTATATCTAATCCTCAGTATGCCTTTGGTTCTTTCTACAAAATATGTCCATGTAAGTTGTGTTTCAGCAGAGAAGCAGGCTATTATGAGTGATATGGACGAGGGTTTTATTAAAGGGATTAGACCTTATGCAACTGTGGAAGCTGGGAAGCATGTTTGCATTCCATCCAATGGTGGTTTTAGAGTCACTGAGACCAACAGAAGTGAAAGTTGGGAAGAAAAGCTGTGTGGACTGGGGGTCAGTGGAGACAAATGGGAATCCTCAGAATAAACTGGACTTCCAAAAGGCAACTGCTACATCATTGGGACAGACTGGATAATCTGGATGCCTCCAAAACAATCTCTACCTGCATCTGTGTCTTACCACCTCCAGCCTTAACATTACAAGTGGTATGCAGAAAGACTCTTTGCAGTGGAGCACCCCATGCTTGTATGTATCTGCTGGAAGAGAATACAGGAGTTTTGGTAGAAGCTGGGGGAGCTGCCTCTGCAGATCTTTCCCAAACCAAGAGGGCAAATGAGCAGATCAACATGGAGCATGAACTGAAACAGCACTTGCTTCCTTGCATTAGCCTTCAGTATATAATAAAGCTGCTATTTCATTTCTTCCTCCCAGATCTCCTGAAGAATTCTCTTCTGACATGGATGCAGAACCACCCAGGCAAGGGAATTCTGAGCAGCATGGTTCCAGTTTAGGCAGATCAACACAGTACAAAGTCATTCCAAGCCAGAATCCACCAATGTAAAATGACAACTGAATGTTAACTATTGTAATAATTTGTTGTAGTATGTAATTATTATGATTTCCTTGAAGGTAAAGAGTAACTGCTATATACCTTTTTTACTGTGTTTTACATTGTATTCTAATTATTTGTTTCCATGACTACCTCAATGGCAAGAAGTTTTTTACTCATCTTGGTATCTATAATACTGGGGTTGTTAAACATCTTCAGTACAAACTTTTTGAATGACTAAGATCCCTTAAAATTCTACTTTTCTATGATTCTAAGTAAAGATGTTTTGCAGATACTAAAAACATAAGATTGGTGAGAAATTAACAGTTAATATAGATCTTGAAATAATTCTTATGTATCATATTAGTGAATATGCTCCTCCAGTATGCTGAGATTCTCAGTCTGTCACTTTTATCTTAGTTTTCTAGGAAAAGAATAGTTAACAAATCACTTGTGTTTAGTTTTGTTGACTATGTAACATCACTATGTAAGTGATTGTGCTTTATTTATCTAAGAATTCTCTCCATCCAATACTATTTGTGGAGTTATTTCATTATTAATTTTTTTGTTTTTCTCACCTCACTTATATTCATCACTTCAGATTTTTCTCCAGTATTTACTTCCTGTGATTCAACCTTGTACCAGAAACATCTGATACACCAAAATGTCATGTTATTTTTTTCAAAGATGTGGCACTCTATTGGCTGGGACTCTGACCCACAAACATGGCTACAAAACATAGAAAAGGAGAGGCAAACCAATGAATTAATAGTTATTTATCAATGAGACAAAAGGTAAACACAGTACTACAAAGTACCATAGCTTATTCCCAGCATTAGTTAAAGCTCTTGTGGACAGCTGAGTTTATTCTGAGTCCTTTATATCTTCCTTGTCTTGACCTGTGGTATGGTCTGAATGTTTGTGTTTCCCTTAAGTTCCTATGTTGAATTCCAAAAGTCCAACGTAATGGTTATAGGAGGAAGTGCTTTTTGGAAAAATTGTGTAAGTCAAGAGGGTCCACCCTCATGAATGGGAATAGTGTTCTTACAAAAGGAGACCCTGCAGAAAACCGTCACCCCTTGTACCATGTGAAGACACTGGCCGTGAACCAGAAATAGGGTTCTCACCAGAATACAGTCATGCTGGCACCCTGATCTCAGGCTTCTCAACCTCTAGAACCATGAGAAACACATTTGTGTGTCTTAAAGTCTCCCAGTCTATGGTATTTTGTATAGTAGCCCAAATGGACTAAATTTGCATTGCATCAAAGCTCACCCCATTGCTTACTATGACTGAATGTTACTTGGTTCATTGCTCCAGTAATGCCTGCAACCATCATTTTTAAAGTCAGTTCAGAAGAAAAATAGCTTCTGAAAGATGTTCAAAGACAAAAACTGCCAATAGTTTGGAAGAAAATAAGGGCTCTTGAAGGAAAAATGAATAATAAGTCCTCTCCATTACATATAATTTTCAGGAAATAATAGGGTAAATCTCCAGTCATATGCAACACCCTTTCTCTCACTTGAGCAACCATGATTTTGCTTCAACTAGGAACTGGAGGTATAATGAGGAGGAAATCAGTCATGGGTCCACCCTTGGCTTATAATCTAACGGGAGAGCTTTCTCTGGTTGGTAGAAGATAAAGCTAAAGATTTGAAGCATGAGAAAGATTCAAAGCTGCTGTTGATGGCTTGAAGGAGGGAGACATGCCTTGAGGAAATGGACACCTCCATCCTACAACTACATGAACTGAATTCTGCCAAAAACCAGAAAGGGCTTGGAAGCTGATTTGTGCCCCCAAAGCCTCCGAATAAGAACTCAGACTGGCTAACAGCTTCATTTCAGGCTTTTAATATTAAGCAGAGAAGTAGCCACACATAGCAGAATATCAATTAATTTTTATTATAAGCCAGTGTTTGTGGTGATTTCTCATGCACAGTAAAAAATAATAGTTTTTCTTGCCCCACACAGCTGGCTGAAGTGTCCTATGTAGAGCTGGAGGATCTTCTTCCAAGTTGGCTCACTTACAAGGCTGTCAAACTGGGACTGGTTGCATGTGAAATCTGTGATGGTGCTGAGGGCTGGGGGCATTGGTTTCTCTTCATGTGGACCTTTACAAAGCCTGCATGGCTTCGCTACTGCAGATGTCTAGGTTCCAAAAGCAGTCGTCCCAAGAGAACAAGGAGAAAGTGAAAGGTGATTTTATGGCCCAGCCTGGGAAATAACATTAACATCATTTTCACCATATTCTGTTAGTGGGTAATTGTAAAGGTCTGTTCAGGTTTAAGTAGAGGGACATAATCCTCACTACTCAGTTTCAACATCTCATTGTAAGAAGTGGATATGGACGGGATATTTTGTGACAACTGTATTTGAAACATACAATTACATGGTGATTTAATGACTCACTCCTATCACAATACCCATTTTGTTTAATATTTTAACATTTGAAGTAAAAGTTGAAACTGGTGACAGTGCAAAAGAAAACAGTGTTACATCCCAGAGGTAGGTTAGGGTTGTGAATGGTTTGGCTGTCACACACACAAGTCTCATAATGATAAATGTCAAGAACACTTGCTAACTTAAATTTCTAGAAAACATCCAAGACGCTGAAAGTGGGGAGTGAAAAAAAATTAAGATCCATTTGAATTTAAGTGTGTTATTTTAACCTTAGTTAATATGCTGTTAACTGGAATTGTCGTTACTGATTTCTTAAACACTTGTTCAATATATAGCATTATATATTAACAATAGTTACATTTCATACACTGTATATTTTGGTTTGTATGGTATGTAAATGCTAGGAAACCAGAGAAACCATTAACCACCCAGATATTAAATGCAGGCAACTTCTCCATTACAGAGTTAAGTACTTCATTTAGGTTTATTTTTTCTAGAAAGTGAATAAAATTCAGTATTGTTTTATGGTAAGTAAATATACAACAATAACATTGGTCCTAAGCAGATACAGATTGCATAAAAATATATGAATTATTCCTCTTCCTCTTCTACATTTGGATGATTAAAAATAATTGAATCTCATTACTGAGTGAACCAGACATAAAACACACTTCAATTCATGATAGCATATGCACTCATTATTGAATTTAAAATTTTGGCCAAACAATGTATAGATTTGGCAAAAAATGGCTTCCATTTTGTACAGCCTCTTAAGTTTAGAATTGCACAATAGAGGCTTTATACCAATGACAAAAACTAGGAAATATATTTTTCACATTTTAATTACAATTCACATGTCTGTATCTCCTGCTGTGATGTTTTGTTAAAAAGAAATCTCATTTGTGAAACTGCCAGTATAGAAATTGACAGATGGTAAGACCAGTTTCCAACCTGCTTAATACTGGTTTAATATGGTTTAGATTATTTTATTAGCATTATCTAGTTTTACTATATAAGAGCACAAGAGTAATACTACAGTTTTGTTATAATTAGATCTATTTATATGATTCATACATAGATTTATTGTTATAGTTTTAGATTTTATCAATATACTATTTTTAGAGATGGTTTAACTAATGTTGCTAAAAAATGTGTCAAGCTCTATTTATTTTAATGAATGCCTACAAACACATAGATGCCTGGGCAATCTTGATCAAACAACTTAAAGCCCAATTTAAAAAAAATTCACTTTGACAGATGTAACCTATAGACATCAACAAATGAACCAATTAATTGGGTTAAAAAATTTTTAATATTGCAATCAGAAAAAAACAAGTATTCAAATATGAAAATTATCTCATGTGAAGGTGAGAAATCCTGAGGTTATTTTCCGAAAGACCTTATTAATCACATTTGGAAAGAAAAACAAAGATAATGAAAGGACATAAAAGGAAAAATGTTTCTATTGGTAAATCAACTTAAAAAGACCCCTTTGGTTTTATATTGATAAACATTATTTTTAACACAGTTTACTTCCCTTAAAAAAATGGAGAGGCATAAATTCAGTAAACATCAATGTTGATGTCAGTTCTTTGCTCCTTTCACCACTTCAACTTTTTTCAGCTCTCTAAACTGTACAGTCTTTCCTGGAAATTCAGGATTACCTCAGTTGCTGGGTAAGCAATGACTTTCCACACCCTCTGCTTTCCATCCTCTCAGCCCATTAAAAGAGCTTAGAATTAGATCACTTTGTAAACCTCTCCTGGTAGCCCAGTGACAAGGACAATGTCATACATTCACCCTAATAGTCTTGTTACCACATTTGTCCCTTGGGACAAATCCTTGGTGTCTGTGTAGTTCCAAGATCAAAGACAGCTCATGCAGCGAATATTTTAGCCCAGCCATCTGGGCTTAGCTTCTGCCAAGGATTCATCTCTGAAACCCTGGTCAGTTGACCTGTCTGGCCTTTGAGTTTCCTCCACAGAGGAAGAACATGAAAAGATCCTGCTGTTCTACCACTGGGCAGAATTTCTGCTGCAAAAAAGACAGTTTACCAAGTATAGTTACCACTACCAGATATCTGAAAAATAAGTCTATCTAAATTCTTGTCTACCCTGTCTTGTCTACTGGCAGGTTGCCCCAATTAATGCCATTTTAAAATTGAGTTTTTCCTGTGCTCTCTGGACCCTGAACTGCAGCTGAGTCAATCCTCCTGTCTTTTATCTCCCACTTTCTCGTTAGTTCTTGATCTTGAACCAAATTTCAGCCATATCTCCATTAGAGGCTCCTTGCTTTAAGGTACTCATAATGCTTCTTTAATGTTATAATCGTTGTCACAAAAGGATAATTTGTCTTTTAGAAATACTGGAGAAATCCAGAATGCTAATGCCAAAGTATAATTATTTAGCATTTGTTTTATACTATGAGGCTAAACTAAAGCAAAGGATAAAAGTGGCCTTCAGTTAACTTTCTTAATAATGATCAGAAAATCATTATAAGGTATAAGGAACAATAAATTAGCTAGGACAGAAAAAAATTAACTTTCCAATTTATTTTCTGATATTTCATCTATAAACATTGTTTGCAAATACTTTAAAGTCAATTCACTTTCTAAAACATCTTGTGAATTTCATTATGGTAATAGAATTATAAAGAAAAATTATGTCCCTTACCTTCCCTAGACACTAATTTCACTTTTTAGGTACTACTACTGAAGAATTACCAATTTGGCTCATCTCTTCATTCAGTGGGAATTCAGTGCACATAAGGGGCACATATGTAATTGGCAACCTAATTTTTCTGCTTTCATCAAATGGTGCAATGCCAAATCTTTATTGAACTTGCCAGTTAAATGCACTTGGGAACTAAACAGCAGCAAGCAGAAGAGATGAAAATGAACAAATTGGAAAGAGTCATTCACTTTCTGTTTTCTTATCACAACAAAAATGGTATCATTGAAAGTGAAGTAAAGTGGGAAATTCTACTTGAAACATTAAACAATGTTAAAAGAGAATAATTCATTTCTTTAACTTCTAAAATGTTCATTACAATTTATAAATGGCATTTCTAGTACAGATTTTTTTCAACAAAAGATACAAAATAGTTAAAAATGAGTCAACTTTTCAGAAGTGTGTTTTAGGTTATGTTTTTATATGTCTTTCTGCTATAGTGTATATGAATTCTAGACTTTATTTGGCAAGCAAAACTGTTAGACAAGTGAGAAATGCTGGCTTTATGTAGTACCTTAATGAATAAAGGCAATTGAGAGATTGTCATGGTTCTCACTAATTATGAATGCAATTGAGAGTGTGAAAATTACAATCAGTTGTGCTTACCAAAAATGCCCTAGAAATATCTGATCTAATGTAAAATTTTGAGGTATGCAATGTAGAGTCATTATTAAATCATCATTATTGATGACAATTAAACGGAGAACTGGGACAGTAAAAGATCCAAAAACTAGCCCAATATAATTGAGCATCATCCTGAAAGGGGGACAAAGCTTTTAAAATATTCTATTTACAGCTCTTAAATAAACCCACATATTTATTTCCTAAGTGCAATTGTTAGATCAGGATTTTCTTTTCTACAGAATTCCCTTTTGTAGTGATAGTGGGATTCCTTTAGAGAAAAGACTTTGGAGAAAAGTTTCCTAACTCTTTTCTTCTATAAATCCAAGTAGTTAGGACTTTTTAAATCCTTGTCTAACCCCCAAAATGAACATCTTTTAAACCCCTCTTGCATTGAAGAAAGGAGGAGGGAGGTAGAAGAACAAAAGAATTGTTGCTTAGCTTATTTTATAGTTATCAAAAGCTCTAAAGAAACTAAGACTTTCAACTAAGTCAGGAGTTCTGAATGGGAGGCAGTATGGACAGTAGAGTGAGGCCGATTAAGGCTGAGTTCCAGCTGCATCACTCAATCTGTATGTGATCTAAGGTTAACTACCCACCCTCCTCAAACCTGAATTTCCTGATCTATGAAACTGAAGAAATAATAATAGCTTTTTCACAGGGAAAGCACACATCGAATCCCCAAATCCTTTGTTGGTATATCCATTTTCCAATACTTAAATCAAAATAGCTATAACGTCCTGTATTTCTATGTTATTGATGTATTTGTCCATGGGTCTAACTTCACTGCCTTTCATGATTATATGCATAAGCCACTTTTAATGTACTTTAATGGACTCTAAATTATCTGTGTGAGACACGGAAGAACTAGAGGACAGGAAAATCAATGTGAGAAAAGGTAAATAAATGAATACACAACAGACCAGGATATGACAAAATCCTGAAGACATAGCAATGGCCATGAGCTACTAAGGAGAGAAGACAGAATAACTGAGTTGTCAAATCAGCCACCACTTCCCTAGCCTTCTAAATGTTCTTAACTTCCTTTTGCTACATTTATGAAAAAAATTTCCTACAGTTGTGCCCCCAAATCAATCAGGGTTGTCCCCATGCCAAAATACATATCAACCACTAAAACCCATTCAAAAAGCACACCTTGCTTTTTTGTATCCAATATAATCACATTTTAGAAGTCACACTATGACCGGTCTGATTATTTAGAACACACACACGCACACAGACAACAGACACTCTGGAAGGAAGTGTGTATTGCTTGAGTTCTGGAAGAAATTGTTTCTTCAGACAATAGTGGACCAGTTCACGAAGGTCCTGTAATCTAGGAAGGAGATTATTTAGTGTTCAGGGAGATGATGTGAGGTGTACAGATTTAACACTGGGGATGTATTGTCTATCTAAATGGTCCTACACACCACCAGAATTTTAAAAATGTTTNACACACACACAGAGTTAAATGCACTCCATCTGCTGTATTGCCTGCTAAAGACATAAATATATAGGAGTGGAGATAAGGGAATGGAATGGGAAAGAGTTCAGGATTCAGTGCCAACCTGAAAGGAAATGAGGCAGGGCAATGGGAACGAAGATCAAGGGAAAATAAATTAGGTAAGCCACAGCACTATGCATAACGTGTTCTCCATCTTTAAGCTGGCAAATTTTCTCTAGGGGGCCATCAGTCAAATGATGTCAAAATGGTAGCTGGGTCTGTCTGTAACTCCCGTGTTGTCGAGTACCATCGGTGTAGGAACATAAGTTCCACCTCAGGACACAGTCCCAATGCTTTCATTATCCTGCAGAAGAATTGATTGCTGTAAATGGTTCCCAGGAGGAGTGACTTGTTTAGAGGAGAAACCAGTTTTCTTTCCTTGCTACCAAGGACGGAAGAGACATGTCAGATTGTGAATAGGTTGGACGAAATGGAAAAGGGGAGAAAGCACCTCACATTTTCCTCCCGGAGAGGTGGAAGAGACAGAATACAACCTCAGTGGCTTCGAGAGAAAAGACAGTGTACTATCAGCATCCCCGCGGTCCCTTCCTAGCGCTTCAGACTTCCCGTCTTCTGTCGTGACCTGCCGGTGCACTTGGACTTTCACAAGAGCGGCTAAGAGGAACGCCAAGTCAGCGCGGGCAGATACGGCTTCCCCGAGAACGAAAACTCAGCAATGGGCCTGCGGAGGGTGTGCGCGGTACTGTGTGAGTATGCGTGCGCGGTGACGGGCGGACCCGGTTGGTGGAGAGCCGCCCTCGAGCCCCCCACCCCCACCCGCAATCGCTATAAAGGCCGCGCCCGCCGCCGCCCTCTTCGCAGTCAGGAGCGGGTGGGGGCCCTGCGCTCCCCACAGTTGCACTCCGCGCACTCACACACTTGCAAGCGCCTCCCCACGTCCCTCCCCTGCCCTCCCCTTGCTCTGCTCTCCTCTCTCACCACAAATAGTCGTCGCTCTCTCCCTCAGCAACATGACTGACTGGGAAGCGGTGGCTCAGGCAGAACAGCTCTGCTGGCGCAGGCAGGAGGAGAAGGAGGATTATTAAATAACGCAGCTCGACTCTGTGCAACTGGGAGTGGAGCGAAGGAGCTCAACAGCCGACAAGGGGAGGGGGCAGAGGCAGGGACCGGGAAAGACACCCCTGTGCCCCGAAGACCTAAATTCCTGAGTGCCGCGGAGGAGCCTTAACCAGCAGCGCGAACCCCTCCAGGTAGTAATGCCCCCGGTGCCCCCGCGCCCGGAGGGTTGCGCGTGGCGTCGCCGCTGCGCCGGGGCGGCCCCAGGCGGACGCAGGAGTGACCGCAGGCAGGTGACCGCCCCGTGCCCGGGAAGCCCCGAGGCAGCCCCCGCCCAGGCCCAGGGCCCCGGCCGCGGGTCCCGCCTGCGCGGCACAGGGACCTGGCCTTGCCGGCGGGGTGGGAGGGAGGCGGGCGGACCAGCCGGCCGCCCGCCCGTGACTCCGGGCGCTGCGTGGCCTTTTCCTCCGCGCTGCTGAGCGCTCTGCTCCCCGCGGCCCGCTCCGGGACGACGCGGAGCGCGACCGGCCGTGGAGGGAAGAGTTGGCGCAGGTTCTGGGTCGCTCCCTTCCCTCGCTGCCCGCGTCCCGCAGGTAGGGGCCGCCGGCGGCGCTGGCGCCTGGGGCTGCGGGCGCCGGGGCGGGGGCGGCGGCGGGGAGGGGAGTGGAGACGGAGGGCGGGGGCGGGCAGCCCGGGGTTCCCGGCGTAGCCGCAGTGCCCGAGCCGGGACCGCCTCTCGCCTCCGCCCGCACGTCCTGCGGGCTGCTTCCTGGATTGGCGCGAGACCCTCCCTGGCGGCGGCCGGAGCAGCGGCGACTTAGTGTGAACAAATTGCTTTGTGGTGGCGCGTCAAGGGCTCCAGGGAGGGGTGTGTGCGTGTCTGTGTGTCCGTGTATGTGTGTGTGCGTGGGTTCCAGGGAGGTAGGTGTGTGTGTGTGTGTGTGTGTGTGTGTGTGTGTGTGTGTTGCGCGCGCGCGTTCGTGTGTGTTCGCGATCCTGACTAATCAGTACCGTTGGCTCACCTGGAAAGATAATCAGTCCTGAGCCGAAAACCTTGGGTTCCCTCATCGTTTGGCTTGCGCCCCAGAGACTTGTACACGGGTGCCGTCAAGGGGCAGGGGTGCACGAAGGGGTGACGGAGGGATTTGTGAATGGTGCTTCTATGCGCGTGGAGGCTGAGCCTTGCTGATGTAAAGGAGGCGGTATCCACAGTGAGAAGAAAGGCTATTTATGGCGAAGAGTTGTGAAATTTCTTGGGGTTTCCTTTAGTGTGTCCTGAGCTGCTCTCTCTCCCTCTCTTCTCCTTTTTCTCTCTCTCTCGTCCTGTCTCCTTTCTTTCTGAGAATTAGAAACAATTCTACTCCCCGCTTACCCCGCCCCGTGGGACCTGAAATATGAAATGAAGGAAGTCAGAAAATTACTTGTCCTTTTACAGGTAGAAAAAAAAATGCCTCCTAGAACTCACTGATCTCTTGCCCTTTAATGTTTTTATGTACTTATTCTCCACTCCTCTGACCTCTTCAGCCATTAACAGGACCCACAAGACATAAATTGTCTACTTGGTTTCAACAGTTCTCATTTCTAGTATCTTTACAGTAGAGCACCTTCCCAAAGAACTGTAACATATAGCTTCTGTCCCTACCCCTAAGAAAGGCTAAATAATGTACACACATTTTACCCTAGCTGGTTCTGTTAAAAGCCTTGAGAAGGAAAGAGAAGCAGACACCTAGGTGAGTTTGTATAGATTACTACTGATTAAAAACCAGCTATTAAGAAAAGACGTAAAGTACTATTTATTTAGGCTACAACACAGTTTGTTTCAGTTTCTCTGTTTGTTTTATAACGGGTACAAATTCCAAAGACAGAAATTGAAGCTCAGAGATGACTTTGAGCAGTGTCTACCAGCTGTGCTTTAGCAAATTTGTTTGTTCTTAAAAGTAGCAACTTGTGCTTTTATAGAACTGATGACTGGGTTGTGACTTAGATAGTAGGACAGTGTCCTTATTATGTTAAGTTGGGATGTCTCTAAGTGACTGCCAAACAAACACAGTGATTTTAAAACACTGAAATTCCATGCTACAACCACCCTTTCAATAATTTCACAGAGAAGAAAGAGAAGTGAACTGGTCAGCCTTTTGTCAGAGTGATTTGTCTTCATTTGATATTAAGGAGCTACTTATTTTGATCAAAACATGCCAACTGTTGTTTTTTCTGAGTGTGAAAATCGCTTTCTTAACCATCCTGTTCATTTTGAAGACAACGCAGAGTTAAGGATTTGTTCTTTTGGTTCTATTAGATTCATATTGCTTTAAATATAACATTTTCAACACAGGAGCATGTTTCATAAGTTCCATTAGAACTTAGACTGAGATTCCCCACTTTGAGGGTTTTTGCTTTACTTTCTTGGATCATTGCAATATAGAAATAATGGGGAATTAAAAATGAACTTGATGCACTGTATTATTGCAATCATTTAAAAAAGTCATATTTATGAATATTTTGTACTTTGACACCATCAGAATCAGAAACTGTATTATTTTAATGATGTATTACTAATGCTATAGAGTGTTAAATTTGGTATTAATAAGGTGCATGTGGAACTCTTTCTTTTTTTTTTTAAATTTTTTATTAAGGTATTACTGACATACACTCTTAGGAAGATTTCACATGAAAAAACAATGTGGTTACTACCTTCACCCATATTGTCAAGTCCCCACCTATACCCCACTGCAGTCACTGTCCATCAGTAAGATGCCGCAGATTCACTATTTGCCTTCTCTGTGCTACACAGTTTTCCCCTTGATCCCCCACACCATGTGTACTAAACCTAATACCCCTCAATCCCTTCCCCCTTTACTCCCTGCCCACCCTCCCACACCCCTCTCCTTTGGTAACCACTAGTTCCTTCTTGCAGTTTCTGAGTCTGCTGCTGTTTTCTTCCTTCAGTTTTGCTTCGTTGTTATACTAGCATGTGGAACTCTTCACAGAGAGGATGTTTAAGGTCCATCCTTAGCGAACCCCTCTTAGATTTGCTTTAAAGGAAAATGTCTGAGATAAGGAAAATAATAATTGTAGACAAGCAATAACAATTGTTGATGAGGATATGGAGAAGGAGGAACCCTACTACACTGCTGGTGGGAATGTAAATTAGTTCAACCATTGTGGAAAGCAGTATGGAGGTTCCTCAAAAAACTAAATATAGAAATACTATTTGACCCAGGAATTCCACTCCTAGGAATTTACTCTAAGAATGCAGGAGCCCAGTTTGAAAAAGACATATGCGCCCCTATGTTTATCGCAGCACTATTTACAATAGCCAAGAAATGGAAGCAACCTAAGTGTCCATCAGTAGATGAATGGATAAAGAAGATGTGGTACATATACACAATGGAATATTATTCAGCCATAAGGAGAAAACAAATCCTATCATTTACAATAACATAGATGGAGCTAGAGGGTATTATGCTGTGAAATAAGCCAAGCGGAGAAAGACAAGTACCAAATGATTTCACTCATCTGTGGAGCATAAGAACAAAGCAAAAACAAAGGAACAAAACAGCAGCAGACTCACAGAACTCAAGAATGAACTAACAGTTACCAAAGGGAAAGAGACTGGGGAGGATGGTTGGGAAGGTAGGGGTAAGGGGAAAAAGGGGCATTACGATTAGCACACATAATGTAGGGGTTGACGGTCATGGGGAAGGTAGTATAGCACAGAGAAGACAAGTAGTGACTCTATAGCATCTTACTGCACTGATGGACAGTGACTGTAATGGGGGTTATGTGGTGGGACTTGTTAATGGGGGGAATCTAGTAACCACAATGTTGCTCACATAATTGTATATTAATGATACCAAAATAAAAAAATAATTATGTTAATAGTGAGCATTCCCTGCTTAATATTTTATTCGTATAAAATATATAACCCATTAAGTGATATTTTTTCTATAATTTTTCAAAGTTACTAGAATGCACTCGCATAACAATTAACTGTCTTTACATTACTTTCTGTGAATGCAGCAATATGATGCAAAGCTTGTGGGGAACTATTTTAGAATTCTAGGAATAATTTTAAAGGTATTTCAAGTGTCTTCTTGTAAAATGATTTATTAATAATAGGCACCTGTCCCATCTTTAAGCATTCTGAATTTTTTTCTTTGTATAAATATTTGTTTTTGTACACACACAACTGTTTAAAATGCACTTCTTAAGAACCAAAGGGGAAACATCTGAGTTGACTTTGAGCCTGTCTATTCAATATGACACCCTGGAAGTATGTTATGGTTGTAGTGACAGTAAAGACATGGTACCAATATTAGATATGACTTTAAATAAAAAGAGAATAGAATTACTTTCAGGTTAGGTGAATTAAAATAATAAAATATTTTATATATATAAAAAATTATATTTTTTGACAGTGATTTGATAAGTTATTACAAAAACAAAAAACTTATTAAGTCACCAGTTTCATATGCATGTAGAAATGGTATAATTTCCAGCACAGCTGAGTACAAACCAGCCTGTTAATTGGTCTCTTTTGAGTTTGACTTTGGACTGTGTGTCACAGGTGTATCACTTTGATAATAAAATCTCTCCTACTTCATGACTGACACATTTTGCATGATTTCCCTACTGAATAGTGACAAAATCTGTTTGCTTTATGTTTAGGACATACACTTTTATCAGCAATATTATCTTCACCGTGGGAGAGTGTCAGTTAACAATAAACCATTGAAGTTGGGCGGGAGAAGCAGTAAGAAAAGATGGAGAGATTGATGAAAAACACTATGATAAAAGAAACGTAGCTTAAACTAAATGTAATATAAAATGTAAAGCTGACCAATTTAAACTGCAGTTGATACAGTACCAAGATATTGTTATCAGTTCCTGTTTTAGAAAGACTATTACATTTTAAGGTGTTTTCATGTGGGTTAAGTAAAATCACCAAAAAAAAAAAAAAGAAGGTGGTTGTTGAAAATGTATACTAGGGTTATAGTATGGTCTTACTATTTTTTTTTTTTTTTAAGATTTCTGCTTAGATCATTGGTAGGTACAGTTTGTTGTTGGGCTAGATGCCCAGCCCTAAACCTAAGGTTAACTTAAAATATTGCTTTTGGTTTTGCATTATTTACAGTGTATTAACAATTTTTAATTTTAGCTAATTAAACTGATTAAAATTTTGGAATGCTGCAACTCTGTTCTGAAACTAAATAAATTTTAAATGTCATTTATAAGGGAACATCTTATTATCTAAAGGCAAATTCTTAACCTAAAGCGGTAGTCCTCAAAATGTGGTTTCCTGAGCAGCAGCGCCAGTGAACTTGTTAAAATGCCAGTCCCACCACAGAGTGATTGAACCAGAAATTCTGCGGTGGAGTCATCTGTGTGATTCTTATGCATTCTAAAGTTTGTGAACCACTAGCCAAGAGTATTTTATAATGAAACTTGAAGATTATCTTCCTCCTGTTTTGGGTCTAAGTACTTTCCTCGGGTGGTAGTGATAACTAAGGTTTAACTATTTAGAACTGAAAAATACTTACTCTCCATTAGAAGAGTTTTGTCTTAACTATATTTTTAAAAATTTAAATGAGTTTCTAGTTTCCTGTGCACATATTTGCTGTTCATTGGGGAAGCAGTATATAAGCACAGATTTTAACTGGACAGTAATGACCTAAGTCTGGTAGAAATTTATATTGTGTTGGTAAGCATTTATAAAGCAAAATATATTCACAGTGTACAAAGGCTGATGATTTTTTGTGTAGTCTTCTTGATTCTCATGTGGTATTTTTGGTCTTGGCATGTAGTAATCATATTTCTCTGTATATGATTATAGTTATTTTAGCGTCACATGTTTGGAATGTTCTTGAAGTCTTACTGCTAGAATGAATTTTAATCGTTTATCTTTTAAGATTAAAGATAATGTGTTCCATCCTGTATCTCTTTTAGTATCCCTCTTGCTCCTTCTTTTCCCTCTTCTCCCCTCCCTCCCTGCCTCGGTTCCCCCCGTCCCCCATTTCTTCTGTTTCATATGTGTCTCTAAGGAAATCTTTCTTGGCCTCCTTTGCTATATGCTTTTCTACCTTGTGGTACTGAATGCAGTTTTAATTTTACATGTGTTTGTGTGATTGGTTCAATATTACATTATCAGGG